GGTTATGCGTTTGGTTTATTTCTGCGCTTATTTCATGTATTAATATTGTGTTTTTATTATTGCTATGGTTTAATTAGCTAACTGTGAGGTTTCACCCGCAATAAAGTACAGTCCAACGAGTGTCTTCACATCGTTCTTCTGCTACAACCAACCACATTGGAAAAGGACTCAACTCTTATTCCATAATCAAAGGACCAACCTTTCAAAGCAGAGTTGCAATCACTCTACTGAATACCTCCTAAGAATCTATTAGAATAAAGCTAACAAAAAAAAAACTTTTATGACATAAACTATAATCATTTTATTTCTATTTTTTAAATAAGAAATTCTAATCGTAATTCTAATTTACGGACTTACTGTCAATCTTATTCGAACGGAGTGATTTTACAAATGCTTTTCTATGCCTCCTTCAATATGGAATTGTATATACAATCATGTTATGTTCATGATAAAAAGTAAGCATAATTAATAATTTTTTGATGAGTTAAAAGGAGCATTTATCTTACAGCAAGACTTCAGTAATCGGGAAACACCAAAGTGCCATAACATGTGGAGTATTTTCAAATAATGATTGGCTTGCGCTTGGTTCAACCGATTCAATGATCACTGTTAGCAGCATTAATGGTGACTTGATATATTCGTTCATGAATAACACGGAACCATCACTGATTAAATTCTGTGACCGGAAACAACCAAATGATAAGAATGCTAAGTCTGACCTTGTGGTTAGTTTATTTTTTATTGAATAATTTGATAAGATTATTAAAAATTATTATAATATATCTTCTCGATAATTAATCATTGGTTTTCTTTAGGATTTCAATTTATTATTTTTGCTACTAAAATCTAACCATAGGAGGAGTTATTTCTTGGCGCCTTCATTTTTATTTTATTATTCTGATTAAGTAATGAAAAGAAAGGATTGGTTCAGTATTACTTCATATAATTATTTCTAAGCAATATCAATTTATTGAAAACTTCAATTTTGTTTCAAATTGTTCAATTTGTTTATTATTAAGTGATTTTGAAGTAGATATTATTATACATATTTCAGGTAAGTGCTGTTTTGGATCAAAATATTATAGTATTGGCAGAATTGAATGGTGATAGAGAACCTATCAATCTTCAATGTCAAGCTCGTTATGGTGAAATCGTAACATATTGCTGGTTGGTTGTGATCGTTGCAAATAACTGATCTATTATTTATAAGTTTTGTGAAACAAAGTTTACTGAGAAAATTTTTGCATAACTTAATTTGCCGAAAAAAATTTGTACACGTTGTTATTTAGTATAAGAGTTTAAGAAGCATTATATATATATATATATATGTCAATGATAGCGGAAATGACGAGCGATAGTATCATTGCCGGAAATGAGAATAACATCATTATCGAAATATTTCTCGTTCTCATATGAAATTTTTTTAGGTATCGGAGTAATTTTTTATTATTGGGTTTTACTAAAGGCTTTCTTGTTTGCGTTTCAACGATTGCCTCAGAGATTGGTCAAGTTTGTTAATTTATTTCTATGCTATTAAGATCTCAATCTTTTCTTTTTTTAAAAAATTACTTACTTACAATTAACTTATTCACAATTAACATTCCTTATTTTATTTATTACTTATACCTTTTGTTTTCAAATAATCGTTTATGATCTTAAATAACTTTTCTAATACTTGTTTTTGAAGTGGCATTTTAAGGAAATATATGTAGTACAGGATTTCAAAACATATTTGTCCTCTATTTGTATTAGTGAGGCATCCTCAAAAATTCTACTAACTGGTGACAGTCAGTAAGTATTTCTTTTTAAATCTTTTGACAAGTGTTTTTATTATTATGGGTTTTTTCCTTTGTTTTTAAAATATTGCGGTGATAATCACAAAACTGATGGAGTTCATATCGAACTGAAACTATGATGAACTATTTAAGACATTTCTCATCAGAATTTTATTTGGAAACAAAAAAATCTGTTCAACATTGTTTTAGGATACGGATACGTGAACTGAGTCAACTTGATGAAATTGTTGAAATTATTGAAGTGGACAGTAAGAATAATGGTTTGTTAGTCGTTATAAATTCAGCTGTTGTCTACTTCTTAAACTTTTCATATTATCTATTAACACTTTTGGCAAAGCCAAGTTAGAATCGTATTAAGTGGGGGAATAGGTAATGTTAGAAATTAAGGGATATTTATTCTGGGAATTCTGCACAACAAAAAGGCATTTATTACATACTGGGGGATGAAAGGCAAGATATATTTCTCACATATAATCGCGCAACGATTAAAGAAATTTTAATAATTGTCCTTTTAAGGCTATTTTTAATAGCCGACTTAAGACTATTTTGGAAAGTTGAAATTGGCATTCAGTACGTAAGGAACTAATCTTTCTTATCGACTAGCGATTGAAATGTGCTGATGAAGATCTCAAACAAGTGAAAAGACCTTTATCAGAGGAAGATTTTTAATATAGCTCAGTTGCATAGCGCGATTATTTTATTTTCATTACTCTGTTAATTACTTTAAAAGTCATATTTCTTATATTAACAAATTTGATTAGATTCCAGAAGGAATAGATTCATTGAAGAAGTTTCAAAATTTTAGTTGTTTTTTTTTCACAGACTTATATAGTACTGCAACAAATTACGATGGACAATTGGTTGCCATCAGTACTCATTCCGGCACATTGCATTTGTTTCTAACAAAAATGCCCATACTTGGAGCCGTTTACCAGAATACTATTGCAATTTTGTCATCATTGAATGAAATAACTCTTTTCAAAGAAGGAGAAAAGGTAACCTGATTTTTTTAAGAGTTGATTGGTATTTGTTCAAATTTATCTAAAAAAAAATTAGAAACATCTTCAGAATCCATTAACAGTAGTGAAAATCGAACTGGAACCAACAGGAATCGCACTAGGTCCAAAACATATTGCCATTTCAATAAATAATCGTGCATGGCTGTACGAAATTATTGGAACGAAAGGTAGGTAATGTAAAGTTCTTATATATGGTACGATTTTAATATTGCTCATCTTTTATGCTTATAAATTGAATTTTATAATAAATTATTTAATGAGTGAGTAAAGATTTTTATGATGTTGCAGTTTTATCCAATTTCAGTTTCATTATTAATAATTTTTCTGTGAATGAATTTCAAAACAAATGATTTATTTTGTTCCAATAGTTACAAAAATTTGTCATTAGAAAATACATATTTCTTGTTTGGATCTGATTTTTAAATATGAATTCAAGCGTATTGATTAATCCTTTTTCCATAATTTATTACAACGGTGCAGAAGTCCGGTACGTCTATGAAATTGAATATTTGTCAACAATTAATGCCATGCATTTGAATGAGAAATACGCTGTTGCTAAACTGGATAATCGGGCACAGTTACGAAAGGTATGATTAAAAAACATATATCATAAACAAAAACCAAAACAGATTATAACACAATTCTTCGAAAAATTCAATCTAAAAAGCTGAAACGAAAAGGAAAACAAAAAAATTAAAAAAATACAATCACCAAAATTAAAAAATTTAATAGTTTTAATAAAATAAGTTTTGAAAATCCACACTTACTACAGTATCCATAACCAACATGACGATAATACAAAAGGGAGCATATTTACCTGCTAGTGCAACTTTTGTTTATTTTCCGATCTGTATTCAAAATTTTAACTTATCTAAAGAAGTTACCCTGTTTAATAAATTAAACACTTTACAGCTGTATGATGAAAACGGGAAATACAGTACCGAGGGAAATGGATTTCTCATTCCGGATTCAGAACATGCTAATTATGGGCTTCAGGACATTACACTCACTGATAATTTCCTCATTTATTGCACGAACGTATGAATTTTGATTTGCGTTAAAAGTGTAATGATGAAAATTGCAACGATGTTTTTCAAATAAGAAAACACATTCTTCTTATTTAAAAAATACTTCATTTGAAATTTCTCTATGTTTAATTTTTCAAAGTTTATATCTCATTTTGGAATTTATCGTCAAAACGAATGATTTCTTACCATTTTTAATTACAGGAAGGGCATCTATATTACTATTCATTAGCAGATGAAGCATATGTGAACGAATACAAACATGTGGCAAGAATAACATCATTATACCCGGAACCAGGAGGAATTAAACTTTGTTTTTTCGATGAACACTTAAATGCTTACATCTACAGTCCTGTTGATGACGAGCCTATCAAAATTCCCTCAATCGATTCTACTGCTCATGTAAATTTTCAACTTATGATAAAATTTTAATGGAATACTCAAATATCTAACGTACATTTTGATTTCCACTTATCTTTTTAAGCCACATTGAATTTTTATCCTAGATGTTTTTTAACACCTTTAATCTTGGAATTTTTAACTTGATTAAATTATAAAATATGGAAAATGGTCTCATAATAAAATGCAACATTAGAAACAATAAGATCTACTGTCTATAAAATAAGATACATAAAAAGGAAAAAAGGAATACAAATAACTTTTGTTATTATTACAGTTAAAGAACTGTTTATGGGAAAATTTCTCCGTGGATCGCGATACATTTGTTGTATGTGACTCTGATACTGTTCATGTTTTTCTTATATCCAAGAATCAAATAGAAAGTAAGTTTGTTTAATTGCTTTCTTTTTACTACGGTATCAGTTAATATTAGCCATCAGATATTGATTTGCTATAGTATATTTGTGCATTCACGATAAACCACTTCCTTGTAAAGGTTGAAATTGTGTGTAATTTACACAGGCTTTTTAGCCCAAATTTGAAAGTTTCTATAGAAAGCATTAAAACAAAATCATTCATTTGACTGTAAAATTCCGGAATCAATTATGATTTTCAACTGTAGCATTATGCTTATTCAGTAATAGAGACAATTATTTATTCGCTCAATCTTTTTATATTGTATGACGCTTTTGCTTGTCGATTAGTTTCTTATTTCTATATCTATTATTCACTTTCCACATAAAATTATATTAATTATTCTGAAAGCTAAGTGTTGAAGTAATGTATAATTTAAGGTCTGTCTTTTTCATATGCAAATAGAATATTTGAAGACAAAAAATTGCCTGACATTGTGTAATTTTAATGATGTAACGTTAGTACTACAGACGAGAACTCTCAATTTTGGTTGATTTAACGAATTTCAGATATTTCATTGATAAAAATTGGATTTACAAAGATACCATACGGATATATTCCAATGATGCTTTCTAAGGGAATTTTGCATTGTCAAATGCAAAATGGACGTATTGGTAGTGTACTGTTAGAGAGTCATCGAACTGATATGGTATTCGATGGGAAATCCTTAACTACTGTTAGTTAGTAATAATAAAGTATTTATTGTTTATTCGGAAATCAATATTTATTAGATTTGATGAAAAATATGTTAAATTTCAGCTGGGAGAGTTATTGGATCAATCACTTAGTCTTAAAAGGTTTGCTCATTCGTTAATGTGACATTAACATTTATGGAATAAAACAACAATTTATTCATTGATGTCAGCTACTATTTAGTAAATGATAATGATAATTTATGAAAAAGTTGTGGAAAAATCGAAGATAAAACTAGTGTTTTCAAATTTTAGATGGATGTATGCGTGGCGTATATGCGAATATACAAAAATTCATGAACACTGGAACAAATTCGCAATCGCAGCCACAAAAAATGGCGAAGTGGATTTAGGTTGTATTAATGCTGGAAATTTTCTTTTTTTTAAATTAAAGATATTCAAGTCTTCATAACTTTTGTATAGAATTAATTGCAGAAGTAAAATGCAAAAATTTTTTTAGCGATTCGAATTTTTAAGCAGATCGATGCAGTGGGTATTGTTTGGAGTTTGGAAGAAATACAATATATTGAGGAAAAGAATTTGTTGAATGGATATTTGGCGCTACTATTAGGGAATTTTGATATAGCAGAAGAATTTTTTTTACAGTCGAGTAAGCCAAGAGAAGCTTTGGATGTAAGATATAGCTACTTGCGTGTTTTACAGTATATTTAATCTTAAGTACTTTTGAGTTGTAAAGCTTTTATGGAATTTATACATGTTTGGATAAGAATATTTTAATTTAGATTCACTGTTGAAGTTATACAACAAGAACTTTTTGCATTCTATTTGAGGGGTTTTTTTTAAGATGCGTCGGGATCTGTTACATTGGGATAAAGCATTGAGTTTGGCAACACGTTTGGCTGAGGAAGAAGTACCGATGATTTCAAAAGAATATGCGCAGCAATTAGAATTCATGTAAGGATATCGCATTACTAACTGCTCAATATTTCGGTGTGAAAAGCAAAGTATAATTACATAGCCTTTGAGATCGAATTTTAGATCACGGTATTTTTGAACATAGTGACTTTTTCTTAATTTCCAGGGGAAATTACAGTCAAGCATTGATACAGTACGAAAATGGTTTGATAGAAAATCCAGACGAAAGTAATGAGCAGGTTTCTTTTGTGCATTTTATATTTCCTGCTATCTATCATTCTCTGTTGTACAGTTCTTCAAAAAAAACGATAACTAGATTTCTGCTCTGATTTCTTATTCCATTTTGATGTTAAACTTTTGGTTTCAAATATAAATTGAAGATTCTGGAACATAATGAAATGTGTAACTCAGGCATTGCTCGGATGTGTATTCGTACAGGAGATATTCGAAAGTAAGTGAAATTAAACCAATTTTCGAGTTTCTAGTTATTATGCATATTTATTTCTGTATATGTCTTTCTGTTGTTTGCTTCTATAATTGTGAAATATGTCACACTTCTCTTTAAATTAAAATATGTAACTGTTTCTGTACCTATATCAATTCACTTCTTTAAAGTAATTAAATTTATTTTTGTCAGAGGAATTGAAATTGCTGCAAGTATTGAAGGACGAGCTATCAAACGTGACTGCGCGATAATTCTAGAACAGCTAAAGGTTTGTTTGCAAAGTTGACTTGCACAGAAATGCAAGGATCAGAGAAAAGTAAAGAATTTGGTTCCATATATTTCTGGAAAAATAATTTGAAATAATGATTTTACAGCAGTACAGTGATGCAACATATTTATATGAACTTGGGCATTTTTATGATCGAGCTGCTGCAGTTTCGCTGAAAGCAAAGAATTGGTAACGAAATTTAATTTCAAATTTTTTCTTATTTTATTTTGCATCTAAATGTTGTTAAATTTCTGCTCATTTTGACTGTTTCTGGATTAAAATTAAATTTTGTAAAATTCTGTCATCTTCATGATTTCTTACAGGACTAAGGTGGGCAGTCTTTTACCCAAAGTTCATTCGCCAAAAATTCACACAGTTTATGGTAAAGTGATGGAAGGAGAGAAAAAGTACAAGCAGGCTGCAATAGTAACGTTTC